TATATAACAAAACTTTATTTTCACGAATCTAACCCTGCCTTCAACTGTGTTTTCAATCCTCTTTATGAGGATTTGTATAACAAAAAGACTTCTCTTGTTCCGCCTCTTGGGCACAGAATTAAACCATTTCTTTCTGCTGCCGGAATTGAGCTGGAGAATATATCTCCTTCTCGTCTTCTTTCTTCTCCTCCATGGCAATTAGTGAGGCCAGACGTTGACTTAACATTAACCACATTCAAAAAATCCGAAACTAATGATTTACAGTATAAACAAGAATTGAGTCAATTAAGAAATATATATAATACATATAAATCCTTATTTAAAGATGGATCCAAGGATGGTGGCGCGGTGGCTTGTGCCACTGTCATTGGGTCCAAAACAATATCTTCTCGACTACCAAATAACAGCTCTATTTTCACAGCAGAAGCTAACGCCATATTAACAGCTCTTAAATATATAAATAAACACCGTAAATATAAACAATACATCATCTTTTCTTTTTCTCTTTCGTGCCTTCAGGCTATTAAAAATATTTCTTGTAAACCTCCACTTTAATTAGACATTATAGAATTGTATAATGAGCTTGCTACTGGCCAATGCGACATTGTCTTTTGTTGGTTACCCAGCCACGTTGGCATTTCAGGGAATACAATGGCCGATCTTGCTGCTAAGGCAGCACTCAACAAATCTGTGACACCACTTCTTATTCCATACTCTGATTACAAAGCTTGCATTAGAACTTACATCCGTGATCTGATGCAGAAGAAGTGGGACACCAAAGTAGGTATTAATAAACTACATGACATAAAACCTTATATTGGTTACACTCACTTGGGTTGTCAGTCCAGATTTGAAGAGGTCATTATGCGACGATGTCGCATTGGCCATACCAGATATACTCATGAATATTTATTGAAAGGCGAAGATCCTCCGTTTTGTATCCCTTGTGATGAAAGGATCACAGTCAAGCATGTCTTGCTTGACTGCATTGAATATTCCATCACAAGGGATATCTATTTCAAATCCAAAACTGTGAAGGGTCTTTTTAATAATGTTAGTTCTCATTTAATTATTGCATTTAAAAAAAAAATAGATTTGTTGACTGATTTGTAAGTAGCTAAATATTTTATTGTTGGTAGTGTATATTAGTAACTGAGATTGTTAGTGGCTGTACCCTCAAAGGGGGTTGACGTAGCGTAAAATGATTGTCCTCCTGAGGGGGTACGTAAGTCCCAAAACTTTCAAAGTTAATTTAAGTGTACCAGGTTTTTAATCGTAGAATATATGTGCTTTTAATTTATGGCTAGATTTCTCTTCTGTCGCCAATGGCTGAAGGGATGGTGTAAATCCAACTAGGGTCCATGCAGGTAGCAAAAGTAATGTAAGTCCCCATGGTTCCTAGTATGGTGATCGACCTTCAGTTGTTGGCGATCTATAGCCCGTTTTTATATTGTATTGTCTTCATAAATAAAATCGTTTTACATGTTCATGCTAGTTTTAGAATCCATCTGTGATACTCTAGTTATTTTACAGTCCTTCGATGACTGATTATTTGGCAACTATAATTTATTGTTTATATAAAACACTTCTCGTCACTATATGGCTGAAATATTGCCGATGTGACGTTAAATATTAACTCACTCACTCACTCACTTTGGTGAAGTTCTTCACTGTGTTTGGCCAAGACTATTCAGACAGATCGGACAGTCTATGCATCAGCTAGATACAACTCAGGTTACATCAAGTGCTTATCATCCTGGATCTCCTGGAGCTTTAGAAAGATACATTCTGACTCTTAAGAATATGATAAGCTCTTATTGTTTTGAAACTGAGGAGGACTGAGATAAAGGCATCCATATAATCTGTTGTTCTTCGCTGTGAGTGAGAACCCGTGAAGGGCCGGGTTAGAATGAACCTTCAGGCTCGCTGACTTGGTTGACACATGTCGGTTCCCAATTGCGCAGATCGATGTCCATACTGTTGATCACTGGATTGTCTGATTCAGACACGATTATTTACAGACGGCCGACATATAGCTGGAATATTGCCGCGTAAAACTCACTCACTACCACTACTGCCGCCATGTAGCTGGAATATTGCTGAGTGCGGCGTAAAACTGAAATCACTCACTCACTCAAAGAGTGATGTTTCAGTCCTTATAACCTTTTTGGCCATAGGGGTGGTGGGGTAGCGTAGTGGTTAAAGTGTTCGTTCGTCACGCCGAAGACCCGGGTTCGATTCCCCACATGGGTACAATATGTGAAGCCTATTTCTGGTGTCCCCCGCCGTGATATAGCTGGAATATTGCTAAAAGCGGCGTAAAACTGAACTCACTCACTCACTTTTTGGCCCTACTTTTTGTGGGCATATAATGCAACTGAAAGAATCAATATATTTTCCCACTGCCGTTCCTAAGATAATGTATCTGATTTTGATGTATGTGATTGTTCTTTCTAAAGTTTGATGACATTGCTGACTAGGCTAACCCTAAGCTACGTAGTTCTGAAATTTCAACTAACTTATGTTTGTCAAACGACTAATTCAAGAGCTGGCTCATATGTTTCATTTGTGTACATATTTAGTACACAGCCTCCGTGGTGTAGTGGTTAGAGCGTCCGCCCGGAGAGCGTGCATTATACCAAAAAGACTAACTTATGTTTGTCAAACCACTTAATTCAAGAGCTGGCTCATATGTTTCATTTGTGTACATATTTAGTTGACCGCTCCCGCGGTGTAGTGGCTGGAGCGGAAGGTCGCGGGTTCGATCCCCGACCGTGTCATACCAAAAGACGTTAAAATATGGTACTTGTTGGTCCCTGCCTGGCACTCGACATTAATGGGTACAACAAGCACTGGTCGGCTCGGAGTCAGTATAATGTGTCTGAGTGGGGTATTCATGCGGCATTGTATCTCAGTGGGCTAGCACTATAAAACCAGCTTAAGTCTGGGCTAGTACAAGCAGCCGCACATACACATACATATGCATGCTCGTCGTCATATTAGCGAAATATTCTCAAGCACGACGTAAAACCCAATTTCACCTCACATATTTAGTATGTGATGATAAAGATGTAGGTGACGCTGTCCCCGTGAAACAATATCCTGGACACATGAATCCAATCAAGCGCAAAGCCTTGAAGAATGAGGTTCACTACATGCTTGATATGACACTGTCCCCTGAAACGATATCCATAACAGATGAATCCAATCAAGCCCGAAGCCTTGAAGAAGGAGGTTCACTACATGCTTGATATGACACTGTCCCCGTGAAACAATATCCATGACAGATGAATCCAATCAAGCGCAAAGCCTTGAAGAAGGAGGTTCACTACATGCTTGATATGACACTGTCCCCGTGAAACAATATCCATAACAGATGAATCCAATCAAGTGCGAAGCCTTAAAGAAGGAGGTTTACTACATGCTTGATATGACACTGCCCCCATGAAACAATATCCATGACAGATGAATCCAATCAAGCGCGAAGCCTTGAAGAAGGAGGTTCACTACATTCTTGATATGACACTGCCCCCGTGAAACAATATCATAACAGATGAATCACAATCAAGCGTGCAGAAACCTTGCAAAAGGAGGAGGTTCACTACATGCTTGATATGACACTGTCCCCGTGAAACAATATCCATAACAGATGAATCAAATCAAGCGCAAAACCTTGAAGGAGGAGGTTCACTACATGCTTGATATGACACTGTCCCCGTGAAACAATATCCATAACAGATGAATCCAATCAAGCGTGAAGCCTTGAAGAAGGAGGTTCACTACATGCTTGACATGACACTGTCCCCGTGAAACAATATCCATAACAGATGAATCCAATCAAGCACGAAGCCTTGAAGAAGGAGGTTCACTACATGCTTGATATGACACTAATAGACAAAGCCAAAGTGCCCGGAGTTCAAAATGTATTCTTGTGAATACGAAACGCTTGAGCCTTGTTTCTAAAAATGACTTTACCTAAAAGCAACAATTTATTTACCAGTTTCCCCAAACTAACATAACTGGCTGAGTTTGGTTTTACGCCGCTTTTAGCAATATTCCAGCAACATCACGGCGGGGGACACCAGAAATAGGCTTCACACAATGTACCCATGTGGGGATTCGAACCCGGGTCTCTGGCGTGACGAGCCAACGCTTTAACCACTAGGCTACCCCACCGCCCTAAACTAAAAGGAATCTTAAAGGAAAAGATCTGTTTTTTTAATCTCATGGTGGCCACAACAGATACTGAAGACAGCGCCCAACAGGGAACATACGCCTTCCCTAATTGAAGTGTTTATATCTAATACATGTTAACTGCCATTTAATCATTTTACTTGGTCTGGGATCATATCCGTTTTCCTACTTCCAAGTTGTCTTTCATAAAACCTTTTCAAAGTTCTACTAATGCCTTGAGTTGAGTAACCTTGATCAAGCAACTACAGAGCAAGAATCGTATGCTGCTCATTTAGGTACTGGTGACAACTGCATGGTTGCTTGGTCGAATGTTATTAAATGTGGACATCAAAGAATGGATGTGCAGGAACAATGTGCATAAAGTGAAAGTTGACTGTCCTTTAGGTAGCCCTCTTGTCACAGCAGAGAGTGTTGTGCCATTATGAACGGTTACATGGAAGAGATTGGGTCTCTTGGTTTAGATCTGGTGGGTAAACCAGGAAGTAAATCAGGAAGTAAACAAGGAAGTAAACCAGGAAGTAAACAGTAGTGTTAGTAGTGGTGATGGCAATAGTAGAAACAAGAGCCGTGACAGTTAGCATTTGGGTGAATTCTTCATTTCATTTTATTATATCTCCTTTATAGTGTTGGTTCTCAATTGGGCAGATCGATGCTCATGCTGTTGATCACCGGATTGTCTGGCCCAGACTCGATTATTTACAGACCACCGCCATATAGCTGGAATATTGCTGAGTGCGGCGTAAAACTAAACTCACTCACTCCTTTATTGTGACAGACCTCTGAACCAACACAACACTTAACATCTGTTGTATGTTAATATGTTTTATTTAGAGGAAGCATTGTTATTCCAAAAAGTTCTTTTTCACAAATACAGGAAATTGAATGTGTAACTTGGGTTTAACGCGGCATCAAAACAGTTACAGCACAACATGACAGCTGAATGTTGGAGGGAAGCCCGAAGAAATGCAGGTTTCAGTCGTTGACCACTCTGTGATACTGCCAACCTGGGAGTGTGCCCGGGGCGAATCAGGATTCAAACACAGTTTTCTATCGTGCTCATGTGGTCAACTTTGTACAGAGAATTGCAGCGTCTTTGAAGACAAGTGACATTGCATTACAGGTCCAACATGGTGTGTAACTGGGCCACAGGTACATGCACCCTTTACAGACGGCACTGACGAGATGAGTATCTAGAACAATCTTAGGGTCTGCATGTGCCAAAGCTGGGGATGTACCTGGCAGACCACACGTGAGGTGGGCTCTTTGAGTAAACATCAGAGAAAGTGGTGGGAAGCATGAAGCAAACAACATCTTTAGCTTGTGAGACACATATTGCTCACGATCACGTGTAACGCTTAAAGAGCTTCTTTTACATATTTACATAAGTTTGCAGTTTTGTTAGATCATGTAATAATGCTAGCATGAATTCAACAAATAAACATGAACAATTAAGGCCTGGAATTATGTGTCACATACTATTTTAGCACAACCACTGAAACGCCAGACACCTCTGGCTCTGTTATGTCTTTTGTTTTAACAACCTTGGCATACAGCTCAGACACATCTGGTGCAGCACCATTGCAGTCATTCACGAGAGTGTCCTCAGGTATTACAACTGGGCTGGTTCCTTTAGTGCAAGAACCTCTTGCTGAGATTGACCTTGACCTTATCACAATGACATCTCCGACTGAAGAGTACCCTGGATCCTCAAACAGAATGGATTGACTCAGAGGCTCAGAGTGCAACATTTTGCTATCAGGATTGTCAAATGTTTTTTCCCCTTCAGTGCCAGGTTCAAATAGAGGAGGCGACCTTGACCTTCTGTCGATGTCACCCATCCCTATGGAGTCCCCAGAATCTCCAACGGGAGCTGATAGGGCTGACTTAACGTGCATCAGCATGTCATCAGGATTAGCAATCGGGTTTGATCCTTCAGCACACGATGTATCTGTTGTAGGTGTCTCTGTCATGCTGACAGCGCCTTCTGCCATGGCGGCGTACCCAGGATCTGTAACGGTATCTTGAACACCCGGTGTAGGTGGAAGTGATCTGTTCGTGATATTTGCCCAAGAAACTGCTCCCTCCACGACACAGATGTTGGAATATTCTGCGTCACGAGACACGTGACTATGGAGTGCATTTACCATCTTTGACGTACGATGTCTGTGACGTCGCTTGTACAAGAAGATTACAATGACCAAGACAAGGAGAACGCTGACAATGCAAACAGGAGCTATAAAAACTAACGTTTCCGTCACTGGTGCAAGTGTCGAGCTCCCTCTCCTATCCGTAGAAGAGGGAACAATTCCTGGAAAATAACAAGTCACATATTGGTTCTAGTTACGATGGCATATTGTTTGGATTCAAAACAAAGAATATCATTTCACTCAATATAGTATTTATATAGTTATATATTTATATAGTTGACACAGTCCATGATTTACACAAAAAAATGGTAGAGGAAAACTTTATACTAATTTAGAACAAAATACTTAGACAGTATAAACCTACCAAGGAATATAGAACCTAGCAACTACTCCTCTCTATGGGTAAGACTGAATTGGATTACAATATTGGGTAACATAAATTTAAAGTAATTTAAAGATTGAAATTGGTTCCAATCATGCAATATGGTGCCTGATGCTATTGCATTATGTAAATTGTTCAATTATAAATATTTTGCATATTGGCAGGTCCTGGTAATTTGTGACTCGGCTGCACTTGAAAGTTATCATTTGTATGTGACCTTGTTACACGATGATCGGGTATATTTTGCAAGACCAGTAAAACGTAATTGTGTATCAAATATTATCAGGATATTAGACTTATTAAATGATTGCCATTAAAAACACATCGTTGTCTGCCATGTCTCATCCTCCCACCATTTGACATCATTATCTACGCATTATTATGAAGTTCCTGTCTTAAATATTCAAAATGTATTACTCTCACTCAATTCTTGAATCCCTTCACATGGTAACGCTTGGCTGTATCGTCCACAGATGAAGACCAGTTTCACTTCCCCGGGGTGGGACTCAGTCAGATTGAATATGACATCCGTGCTCGCGTTCCATTGTGAGCTGTCCAAACCCGTTTTAATGTTTCCTGTTTGCAACTGAAACTGGGCCGACTCAGAACAGTAGTCCAGTTACGTTCACCTTCAACGCCACTTCCTCGTCCACGGTGAAGTAACTGTCATCATACTGCCTTCTTGTTATAGGGGAATAACTCTGCTCCAGAAAATCGCATTCCACTAATATTTTTAGGCTGAAGGATGGGATGTTTTCGTCTACGACATCTGTTTTGGTTTATGGAAAAAATAATTTAAACTTTTCAGGCGAAAGGAGATATTATGCTGTAATACACGCTATATTATTGCGAGATGGTTCCTGGAATTCTGTGAAAGTAATTATGATTACAACTTTTCTTAAAGCCTATTTTCTCTTTTTGGTGTGTGATATCTCGTTTTTGTTCTGTTTTATTTTTATTTAAGTGCTCTGTTTGTTTCCTATATTTCCTTTATTGTCTTTTCTTTTGTTGTTTTTCTTTCCTATTTTTCATTTAATTTCGTTCTTTATATATTTATTTGTGGGGTAGCCCAGTGGCTATTTAAAGCGTTCGCTCGTCACGCCGAAGACGGGATATCGATTCCCTACATGGGTACAATGTGTGAAGCCTATTTGTCATGTCCCCCTACATGATATTGTTGGGACATTGCCAAAAACGGAGTAAAACCATACTCACTCACTCACTCACTCACTCACTCATGCCTATCTACAAGAATTATGGTGGGAACGGCTCATCATACACTCCTAGCTATTCATTCCTGGAAACTCCGCTAGAGTACCCGTTAATAAATCACGTGATTGAAAACCGATGACGTCAACATCAGGTTAACTTTCGAGGCATATAAGATAGATCGAAGATTCTTTGCCAATAGGGATGCAGCAAAAATCACATTCTGAATACACAACCTACATGAACTTAAATTTAGAAACTTCTGCCCTCAAAATGCCGTCCTAACTAATCGGAAATAACTCTTACTTATCAGCTTGTTACAGAACGGATTATACCAGTTGTAAGTTGCATGTGTAAATATTTAATGAACCAGAGCCGTGTGCAATTTAGACAAATGCATTCAGATCAGATCGTGTTCAACTTCGAAAATGCATCCATGACATGCTGATTGTCAAATGGCACGTTTCCTCGCCAGCAAAGAGTAATGAGCAACTTATTGATCGGAAATAACTGAGATTTTACGCGCTCTTGCGTAGAGTGAGTACGTCGTGTATGTATGTAGAGTGAGTACGTCGTGCACGTATGTAGAGTGAGTACGTCGTGCACGTATGTAGATGTACGTCGTGCACGTATATAGAGTGAGTACGTCGTGCACGTATGTAGAGTGAGTACGTCGTGCACGTATGTAGAGTGAGTACGTCGTGCACTTATGTAGAGTGAGTACGTCGTGCACTTATGTAGAGTGAGTACGTCGTGCACGTATGTAGAGTGAGTACGTCGTGCACGTATGTAGAGTGAGTACGTCGTGCACGTATGTAGAGTGAGTACGCGCACGTATGAAGAGTGAGCAGTACTTCGTGTATGTATGTAGAGTGAGTACGTCGTGCACTTATGTAGAGTGAGTACATCGTGCACGTACGTATGTAGCACGTATGTAGAGTCGTCGTGCATTTATGTAGAGTGAGTACGTCGTGCACGTATGTAGAGTGAAAGTACGTCGCGCACGTATGTAGAGTGAGTACGTCGCGCACGTATGTAGAGTGAGTACGCCGCGCACGTATGTAGAGTGAGTACGTCGTGCACGTATAAAGAGTGAGTACGTCGTGCACGTATGCGTAGTGAGTACGTCGTGCACGTATGTAGAGTGAGTACGTCGAGCACGTATTCACACTGGATCCACAGGATTTTGAGACACATCAGATTTTGTTGTTTTCAGGCAATGGTGCTTTATGCATTCATCTAATTATGCACATAAAAATATAAACTGTTAAAACCCCTATAAAAAGTATTAAATTTTAATTGGTTCGATAACTGAAATCAGTTTAACAAACCTGAATACATATTTTAGGTAAAGTACATTTCGATCATGGCCCTTTATTTTTTTTAACATTTACATCGCTAAGGAAATGAGGTGGTTCAATTTGGCCTCAGTTTCGAATAGTGAAAGGTGATCCGAGCTCCAGCCTATGGCATCATACAGTTTTATACATAACATTTAATCCTTTGCGTGTGAGTGAGTGAGTTTAGTTTTACGCCGCTTTTAGCAATATTCAGGTAATATAACGACGGGGAACACCACAAATGGGCTTCACACATTGTACCCATGTGGGGAAGCCAACCCGGGTCTCTGCGTGACGAGCGAACGCTTTAACCACTAGGCTACCTTGCCGCCCCATATAATCCTTTGACCCAGTCTCAAGCACATGATACTCTGTCATTAGTCAGCACACTGAGCACGTAAGGCTGCTTTCACTTCTTTTGTGTCAAATGCTGCCGGGTGATTTGTTTTCCCGCTCCAAGTTGGAAGATTAAATTGTCCTCACCGCTCAAAGCGTTGTATGTTGGTTTGAAAGCTGGTAACACGTAAACAAAGTTGTCAAGGACCAAAGGTTTTGTTTGGTTGTTTGGTTGACACGCCACAGTGGCATCTACTGGGTGGTCAATGTGCAGCAACAACTTACTATCTACTTTAAACACCCACTGGGGTTGATAATATCAATTACTGGTCTCGAAGCAAGGGGCACGTCAGACTCAAGGCATCAGATTCGAGATATACCAGTCTAAACATGGCACATAAGTCATGGGGACACACCAGTCTCAAGGGGCACACCAGACTCGAGGCTTACCAGTCTAAAGGTGGCACATACGTCATGGGGACACACCACTCTCAAGGGGCACACCAGTATCAAAGGACACACCATACTCGAGATATACCAGTCTAAAGGTGGCACATAAGTCACAGGGACACACCACTCTCAAGGGGCACATCTGACTCGATTCATACCAGTCTAAAGGTGGCACATAAGTCACAGGGACACACCAGTATCAAGGGGCACATCAGACTCGAGGCATACCAGTCTAAAGGTGGCACATAAGTCACAGGGACACACCAGTATCAAGGGGCACATCTGACTCGAGGCATACCAGTCTAAAGGTGGCACATAAGTCACAGGGACACACCACTCTCAAGGGGCACATCTGACTCGATTCATACCAGTCTAAAGGTGGCACATAAGTCACAGGGACACACCAGTATCAAGGGGCACATCAGACTCGAGGCTTACCAGTCTAAAGGTGGCACATAAGTCACAGGGACACACCAGTATCAAGGGGCACATCTGACTCGAGGCATACCAGTCTAAAGGTGGCACATAAGTCACAGGGACACACCACTCTCAAGGGGCACATCTGACTCGATTCATACCAGTCTAAAGGTGGCACATAAGTCACAGGGACACACCAGTATCAAGGGGCACACCACACTCGAGGCTTACCAGTCTATAGGTGGCACATAAGTCATGGGGACACACCAAGGAGGGCTACGCTGTAGGGAAAATAATGTGGATCAGGGACTGTGATGTTAATGACGTTGCCCGATACATGTATTGCCGTCAGATATCTGGAATATGGCTGGGCGGCCGTTTACCAGCAAACATGCGAATCATAGGGTCAGTAAACATATAGCTCCGAAGTATAGTGGGGTCAGTAAGTGAGTATGGTTTTACGCCGCTATATTCCAGCGACGGGACACGAGCAATGGCTTCAAATGTGTGCCCCTGACACAGACGAGAGGAATAATTAGGTTGAGATTGCATTCGCATCTTTATACGCTGTTACTTTTCACGAGGGGCGGCGGGGTAGCCTAGTGGTTAAAGCATTCGCTCGTCACGCCGAAGACCTGGGTTCGATTCCCCACATAGGTACACTGTGTGAAGCTCATTTCTGGTGTCCCCCGCCGTGATATTGCTGGAATACTGCTAAAAGCGGCGTAAAACCATACTCACTCACTCACTTTTCACGAATAAAAACTTTAGCAACAATCTTGATTTTTCAGTTTCGGCTGTAGTGTCAGTGTGACCTATCATAATCATTTGTGCACCTCGTTGCTTGCACTTCCTGAATCCGTGTTTTAACAAAACATGTTTGTTCTAACACCACGCTTTATACGATTTTAATTGTTGACCCAGAAGGAAATGAAAACTAGAGATGAATTGTTGATGCAGCTTTAAACAAACTCACTGACACAGGTCGGAAATCTCGATTGGTCTTCAGCAACCCATGCTTGTCGTAAGAAGCGACTAACGGGATCGGGTGGTGAGGCTCGCTGACTTGAATTGGTTGACACATGTCATCGGTTCCGAATTACGTAGATCGATGCTCATGCTGTTGGTCACTGGATTGTCTGGTCCAGACTCGATTATTTACAGATCGCCGCCATATAGCTGGAATATTGCTGAGTGGGGCAGTCACCAATAAACATGAATTTCGAAAAACATCCATCAAAAGCCAAAAAACACTGAAGTTGGTGTTTTGGGGCTAATGATTCACATGTTGTGTGTTTGGTATATCATACTGACAACAGATTTCAGGTTTACGTTATGGGTTTTCAAAATATTTTCGAAATTACGGTTGTAAAGTTTCTTTTGTACGTCAGTTTATTATATTATCTTCCTGAACAAAGGTTAGTATTCTGAGATAAACAAAATATCCCCCAAACAACACCAACATCGGGGCCGACGGCTAACTGCAGAATGTGCAAATGCTTATGAAAAACACTGGCAGAACCTTATATGAGATATGACGTTTTTTTTATCACAGCATTATATTGACGGGGCGGTGGGGCTGAATGGTGGTTAAAGCGTTCGCCAAAGGTGAGGTGAGGTGAAATTGGGTTTAACGTCGTGCTTGAGAATATTTCGCTCATATGACGACGTGCATGCGTGTGTATGTGTATATGCGGCTGCTTGTACTAGCCCAGACTGAAGCTGGTTTTATAGTGCTAGCCCACTGAGATACCATGCCGCAGTGAAGCATGCAATGCCCCACTCAGACACATTATACTGACTCCGAGCCGACCAGTCCTTGTTGTACCCATTAATGCCGAGCGCCAAGCAGGGACCAACAAGTACCATACATTAACGTCTTTTAGTATGACGCGATCGGGTATTGAACCCGCGACCTTCCGCTCTCCTGGTTGACGCTCTAACCACTACACCAAGGAGGCGGTCCGTTCGCCAAAGACCTTGATTCGATTCAT